CGGCCTCTGGAAGCTTCTGCCGGTGACCCCTGCCCTGGCGGCAGAACCCGCCTGGCCGAGGCTCTGCGTCAGCCTCCTTCCTTCCCTCCGGCGAGTGGAAAGACCCGGCCTGCAGACTGCTTTTTCCACGGATGTCAGTGAGGCTGCCACCTGGACGCAGGCACGGTCAGGGTCAGCTTGGGTTTAAGCATTTCTCGCCCCAGTGCACACATGCTCCATGGCCTATAGAACGCCCCCCGCACCCCCTCACAGTAACGGGCTTTTTCAGGACAACTCAGACTTCATTATTTAACCCTGGACCCTGTGCTTGGAGATTGGAGGCTGAAGCAGCTCGGTCCCGCCTGGACGCAGCCTCAGCCAGGTGGCCCCCACACGTCTGGTCTGGCTCGGTGCTCACTGGGGGACTCGCTCTCTAGTCTACTGTTCGGAGCTCCGTGCAGATCTTCAGAGGCACCCCCACTTCCTCTCCAGGCCCGCGCCTGCTTTTCTGATCTCTCCCATGTGCAAAAGAGCCGACCCTCCCTCCCTGTCTCCCACGGGGCCTCAGCCCCGGCCAGAGGAGCCGGCCCTGCCTGTGTAAACTCTCTCCCTGCTGACACCGACAACCACCCGGTTCTCACCGAGGGGCCCTGGCAAGCCCGCCGGGCAGGACCGAGCGAGCCCGGAGCAGCGGTTCTCCAAGTGTGGCCTCGGGGCCAGCGGAGAGCCCCCACCTGGGACTTGTTCAATGCGGGCCCTCAGCCCCGCCCACCGACTCCAAACCTGTATCTTATCAGGATCCCCAGGTGATTGATAGATTGATAAAACAAGTTAGTTTCTTTAGTGAAAAGGCCTGTGGAGTAAGAAAAAGAAAGGGATATGACAGTGACGAGGAAGAGGGTCTGTCCGCAGAGGTCCTGCTCTCAAAGGCTTGGTCTCAGGACCATTTATGTTCTGGAGGATGTTGGGGACCCCACAGAGCTTGGTTATGTGGGTTACACCCATTAGTATTTGCCATATTGGAAATTTAAAAAAGTATTGGCCCGGCCGGTGTGGCTCAGTGGTTGAGCATCGACCTATGAACCAGGAGATCACGGTTCGAATCCTGGTCAGGACACATGCCTGGTTGTGGGCTCGATCCCCAGTGTGGGGTGTGCAGGAGGCAGCCGATCAATGATTCTCTCTCATCATTGATGTTTCTATCTCTCGCTCCCTCTCCCTTCCTCTCTGAAATCAATAAAAAAATTTCAAGAAATATTGTTCATTCACTTTAAAATAGTGAACAGCCCACGTGAGCGCGTAATTTATGAAAGTAGCTGTGCTTCCTCCCACGGAAGAACCGCTGGGCAGAGCGCATGGCGTTGCCTTCTTGCTCTCCGTGGCCCCTGCCTGGCCCGCGGGCGACTCCCCTCTGCTTCTGGGCTCGGCTGCTGCAACACCCCGCGCCCTCCCGCGCCCTTTGGAAAACGCCACCGCACAGCAGGGAGGGAAACTGCGGGAAGCCCGGCTCCCCTGAGGCCGTCAGGAAATGGTTTTGACTGTGCGTCCCCCTGGGAGGGTCAGGGTCGGGGCCACCGTGAGAACCGGGCGAAGTGGGAAGAAGTCGCTTTCAACTGCGCGGAGATCGGGCAACGAGGGTGTCAACGCAACCTCCGCCCGCGGCCCGGAGCAGCTGCGGGGCCAGGGCAGGTCCCCCGCCTCGGGAGCCGGTCGCCCGGTCGGTTCTATGAAGACAGCCGCACCCCGCGCTCGCGCCCCGCCACACCCCGCAACACCGGGGAGTTTCCCCGCGGAACTTCAGAGCAACGCCGCCGTCTGTCCAGCAGAGGGCGATGGAGACCAGCCTGGCTGGGCCCCCGCCACCGAGGCCCTTCGCGGCCACCCCCACTCCACCCCCCAGACACCAGGTTCCCTCGTGATCGGGGCGGTGTCTGGGGCGGTGTCTCGGGCGACCTGGGCCGCCGGGAGCGCCTGGGAGCCCCACGGCCCTTCACGTTGGCCCAGATGTGGTCGGGGGCCGGGAGAGCAGAGGGAAGTGGTTTGGGCAAAGGCACATTTCCCCCCTCCAGCGGCCTTGTGGGGAGGACCCGCCCCGGAGCTGCGGCTCCTCCCGGGGGCGCCCGCCCGCCCGGTCGGCCCGGGTGACCTGGGCCCGGGCGACGTCACCGTCTTCCCA